TACGAGCAGATTTTTGACAGCTTACCGTTTTCATCACCAGCTGAATTGCCCAAATCACTCTCTGCCAGGTGTGGAGACGTAGCCTGAATGTTCGGACAAACAGTCTTCGTCGTGTCTGGATCTGGACTGACAGTTCGGTCAGCAACTATATACACGATAGCGTTAAAATAATAACACGTACATACACAATAAGATCAAACGCACCATCTTGTCTATCAGGCACATCGGTTTCAGGCTGTCCACTTTCCGGAGTAGGTATAATGATCGCGACGACTATGGACCAGCCACAGATCTACACCTTTGCCAGTCCAAATCGGCGACAGTGTAAAGCAAAGCTGTGTGAAGTAACTTAAGTGACAAAGAAATTTTAAATTTTTATTTTCAAAAATTGACTTTAGAGCAATGGCGATTTAGTGAATATGACACTTGATGCGCGGCGGCTCACAGGATCCCAGCGAAACCGTGTTTGATCACACATCGAGGTCCGAAGTCCAGCATCGCCCAGTCGCGACGGCTCTGTCTGCGTGTCGAGTGTGTGGCCTAAGTTGCATTTTGCACGTGTCGACGACGACCGAGGTAGCATAAAATGGAATTTTAACGCGGGGGTGCCGAGTACGATGGTGCTCGGAAGGAAGAAGCAAAGGGCGAAGACAGGATGGACTTTTTTTTACTTGTTTTGATGCCGACCACCAGTTAGCTCCGCACTAAATCGCCATTGCTCTGAAGTCAATTTTTGAAATTAAAAATTAAAAATTTCTTTGTCACTTAAGTTACTTCACACCGCTTTGCTTTACACTGTCGCCGATTTGGACTGGCAAAGGTGTAGACAACACGAGCATGGCACAACTACGCGAATATTTCATGGATCGACGTAAAACACTACACGATGTTCCCGGTGATAGTGAAGATCTGGACTCGCGATGGCGAGCATTGTTCGATTTCCAGACAGCAATTACGTCTACTGTCGCAGCAGGCAAGATGAATTCGACTGGTGCGATGCTCTCGCCTCCGCTGAGAAATAAACGACGATTTGCTAGCTCTGAGCCTACTCCAATGCAAGGAACATCTATCGCAGAAGAGGACGAAGGTGAGAACGTAGAACGCGAGGATAATGCAGGTGAGAAGACGGAAAGCGCTGCTGGTGATCAAACTGAAGCGAACAAGGCTGGACACGAAGAGCAGATTGATCATAATAATCGACACACGTCATCAGGACACAAACGCTTTGCTGTGGCTGATGAAGGTTTTGACGTGGCAGAGTCGTTGCTTCCTCGCAAGCGGATGCGGCGTTCAGGTAATGCTAACGAGGCGGAAGCGAGTGGTGACGAGGCGAACGACCTCGATCATCAACTTCAGAGTGAGTCGAAGAGCGAGGAAGAAGAGCCACCTCAAAGTGATTACGAAGTGCAGCCCGCGGCTGGAGACAAGGAAGATGACAAGAGAACGCATCGAAATCGACGTCGTGCATGAATCCGCGAGTTAAGTTGCACCTAGTTATTTGAACGCGATGAGTAGTGTATTTCTGGAGAACTGGCTAACGAGTTATGTGGCTTGGACGTAACGCGAAGAGAAGTGCATTTCTGGTGTCCTTACTGCCTAACGAGTTATGTAGCTTGGGACAATACCCCAATGAGCAACAAGATTCATCAGAGGTGCAGTATATGACCACTGTTGTCAAGTAGTTCGAGTGGAAGCTTAAGGAGGCTGGTGTGACGTGTACCTTCGAGTCGTATTGCCCCCAGATCTGGTAAAACATCCTCAACTCAGCTGCTGCGACCGTCGCAGTACAATGGCGCTGAGGTTGAAATCAACGCCATGAAGCCCGAAACGGAGCGCTTGATTAAAGAGAGCAGCGCACTCAAGGCAGCTATGACGAAGAACGGTAGCAATAACTCGAAATTCCACTCACCGGCGCAGTCTCCTCAGACGAAGCGAAGGAGCGTTACGCCTTCGACAACACCAAAGAGATCACTACTATTTTATTAATACACCGTTCACTCTAGTTAGGGGAATTCTTTCGAGAGCCGTGTACGTCAATGGCAAGCAGTACGACACGAAGGAGAAGCTCGTGACGGCTATTAAGAAAGCCTGGGATGAAATCCCTCTGTTGAAGTTAAAAAGTCTTGTAGCATCGATGAAAAAAACGCTGCATGGAGGTGTACAAACTGGAAGGGCATAAGACGAAGTACTAAGCTGCCTAGTCAAAGTCGTCACGGTGTCTACTGTAGAAAACATAAAAACAGAAGATAAGTGCTGATACATTTTGTTCGTCTATCATTTTCGCGCAGGGGGTTCCAACACAACAGCAGATTTTGAAGTGTTTCTCAGCCGTTACTTTGCGGATTACAACAAACAGTACCTTAAAAGAACCGTAATGGTGATCTCCTGATTGGATATAAAGCCCAAATTTATTGCTTTTGATTTGACAAAAATCGGCTCGAAATCGAGTTTTCGTCTATCATTTCCGCGCGCACTGTAAAGTCATCTCTCCGCTTCTAACCTTGTAGCATGTCTG